GCTATCACGTCCCTCCTTTCGCCCTTGTTCGCTGAGTGCGTAGCTTCTGTTGTAGTTGGCTGTTGATCGTCTTGGTCTTTCAATTATGGGCTTGGATGGTGGATTAGTTGTGGTTGCTGTAGATTGCGTTGTTGGTGTTGGTGTGGGAGCTACTGATATGCAAGGTGGGTCTTTTTGAGTCGGCATTTGTAGTGTTAATGCAGCTGTCAGTGTTGCTCGCGGTCTCCCACTGGCAAGCTCCACCGCCGCAAGAACCGATGGCGGAGAATCAGGAGGAGGCAGTGGGACCGGGACCGCAAGCGGCACCGCCCCAGCCAAAGCCGCCGGGGGCACCGGCGAGGGAACCACCGACGGCCGGAGCAAAGGCGGCGACACAAGCCGACCCGATGAGCCACCACGCCCATTCTCCTCCACCACCGCCACCAGCGACGGCGGAGCAAGCACAGTCTGTGAGCCAGGATCCGCGGGTTGTGTAGGCAACGGCTGTGTGGTTATTGGTTGTTTTCTAGGTCGCCCTCGCTTCGGTCTTTGTTGTTGTGCGCAAGGTGGAAGTATGTGACGTGGTGTGTGTTGTTTGATGCGTGCATTCAGGTGCTGAACAGTCCTACCAACATACCGACTAGCGCATTGTCGGCATTCAAAGTTGTAAATAAGATGACTTAGGTGATGGGCTGGTAGGACATCCTTCCGCACCGTAAACGCACGCATCGTCGTAAAGACTGGCACGAAGTGTACTGCGTAGTATGTTCGACGAACAACAGACTTGACTGCACTACAAACTTTAGTCGACTCCTGCCCTTTCCACGGCAAACATAAATAAACGGGACAACGAGCAGGACCAATCATAGGAGCCTTCGTAGTTTGTTCGACTTTCAACAACTTCTGCAACAAAAACTCAGGGTACCCGTACCCGTTCTTGACAGGGTACCCGTTCTTGAGACGAACAATAAGAGTCATACACAATGTACTGCCCAGTAAACGTCGGTTTTCGATAAACGGTGGTCAGAACGTCACTACTCGTTTTTTCCACAAGCACATCTAGACATGACAATTTGTTGGACTGTTCATGCTCACATGTAAAACGAAGGGCAGGGTGAATACTATTTAATACGTCAAGAAACTCGTTACTACGCTCCTCATTATCAAAATATGTGAATGAGTCGTCCACGAAACGTACATAAAGGTCAGGCCACAATGAATCATCAATTTTCGACTCACAGTAACCGACAAACACGTTTGCCAATACCGGACCAAGGGGCGAACCCATCGCAACACCATCGACTTGTTTGTACATGACATTGTTGAACGAAAACTCAACACCAGTTGTGACCAGCAACAACAACCGTCTAAACGCACTTTCAGATATCCAAGGAGTGTCAACGTCATCATTACGGTACAAAACATCCATGCAGATGTCGACAGTTTCTTCAATCGGCACATTAGTAAATAAACTGACGACGTCAAACGAACACATGTGTGCGTTGGGTGGTACCGGCTTGTTGCGGAGCTTCTCGACGAAATCAAAACTGTCTTTTACAGTGCGCTTGCAGTAGTGGTCCTGCACTGGTTGTAAGTAAATACACAGCCACTTGGAAATAGAATATTGGGGTGAAGCCGTCATGGAAACGATGGGACGTACTGGACATGTGGGCTTGTGTATTTTTGGTAAGCCATATAGCCCAGGCCGGAGGGTGCCTGTCGGTTTAATGCGATCGAAATCATTTGAGGATATTTCACCGTCGTCTTTCAGTTTCTTTAGGTAAGCTATTAGTTCTTTTTCTACTTTCTCTGTTCGATCAAAACTTTCAACTGGGCCGAGGGTCTGGAACTTTGATGTGTCATTTAAGATGACAGACATCTTATCGATGTAATCGGTTCTGAGCATCAGAACTGTAGCCCGCCCTTTGTCCGGGCGCGTGACGATGATTTCCGTGTTTTTGCAGAAGTCACGGAGGGCTTTCATGTGTTCCTGGCCTAAGGAAAATGATCGCTTATCTGGAAGTTTGTCCGCATGCTCCTCAGCCTCAGCTCGGATCTTTGCTGCGCATATTGATTGTTGGGCCTCTGCCTAATTTGTGTGTACAGAAAGATAGTATAATTGGGTTGAAATTGTTCAAGTAACGTGTCGTGTTTAGTGCGGCCAAGCTTGGCCGTTAATGTTCTAGGTGTAATGTACTGCTGTTATGTGTTATCACGTTGTCTTTCCTTCCTTTCTCCTTTGTTCATTTCTCGCTTTGATTGTTAAAATTCACACTTGTAAATTTCACTATTGTTGCTCTTAGTGTTATTTCTCTAACTTCGATTTTCTATAATAGTTCAATTTTTGTTTCAGTGTCCTTTAGTACAACGACGATTCCTGAGTGTTGTACGAAAACTTGTTTGAATCCATATTTTTTCCCTACACCATTTCTTCATAGTTTCATCGTTTTATTGCACATCGTCTCCACCGTTTTTACATTGCATGAATAAAGTACACAAATGTCGGTTCAGCTAGTTTTATTGATTGCGGTTATCAAATAATAATAATAATGCCAGTTTCCCCTCCCAAGGTATGTACAACTGTACAGAAACATTAGCTGGACTTTTTTCTGCTGATAATTAATTGAGGCAATGGCATTTCAGCAGAGGAATTCTCACAGGAGCACGAAGGGAGGTGAATGACAGAACTTTCACTAGCAAAGTCGGTGGAGGACAACTCAACGGTACAAAAGGAGAATGGCTTGCAACATGCTTTGTATTCGTCAACTTGATATGAAAAGGTCGAAAGTTGAACCATCACAACGTATCCATATGTAGATTCTTTATTAGAGTACTTCGAAGTGCAGATTGTCTCTTTCATACCTGGCACACCATGTTACATATACTGCAACTGGGCCTAAACGGACTGCATGCAAGATGTTTGAATGTGAACTATGAAGTCTCGAGCAACACCCACCATACTATAATGGATATTTGGAAGTCTGAAGACAATGTATTGAACGCTCCATGCTGGGATGACAACTACACCATAGCTTAGTGGTGGATGGTCGTTGGTCATAGGCGAGGGTTCGTGTCCGGGTGGTGAAAGTCAATGTTTTCTTTAGACCTCTCCCATATCAACTTCCTCAAGCATGTGAGCACCAACAGAATAGACTTACTCGCAACTCGAGTCTCTCTAGTCACGGTAGGCTCAAGTAGGCTCGGTTCAAGGAAGCCTCCGATACTCAAGCGTTTCAGCTGCCCTCCACGCCACCGACCACCAAGAACTACTGTATGCATATGCATAGGCTTGAACTCCAAGAAACTCCTTCCTGATAGATTCTGTCACTCTACGAAGAAAGCTTCTTCTGCTGAACTTGCTCGGCTCTTCTTGCAGATACCAGCTTTTTGAGAGTGGCACAGTCTCCAGGTTCTTCCCACTTCACCATGTTGACTCTAGATGTTCTGCAGTCCACTGGCCCACGAGATCACCTAGTTAGGACGATTAACAGAGTACATTGTGTATATACGTACATGTGCGTACATAAACTGATCGATCCCACACTGGACCCACAGACAGAAGAACGATCAGTTGCTACATGTATTTCATTTTCCCCGTTTCTTTCCTCATCAAACCCTACTTGTCTTCGCACATACTACAGCTGTAGTAGTAGTATTGTTCTTTCAATCCAATGAATCCCTCGATAGGCATCTTGCCTTTGGGTCATTTCATCATAATATTAGCTCGTATTCCGCTCTTTGTCTTCCGCAACGTGAGCCCTCTACGGACGGTGGATGAACCTCACATGTAGTATTTCTTCAGCCGTGCTTGTGCTGAGTAGTCGTATCAGTCTGAATACCCTTTTAGCCGTTTCCGAGCTTCAGCGAAACGTAATGAAGGACACATACGCCGTCATTTAGGGAAAAACATGAAGCAAGTCCCGTCCTTCTTGCAACTTGCTGAGTGATGCAATACCCTTTACCAGGAGTGCATGACCCCCATACATAATCCTCCAGAGGTTGAAACGCCTGATCCAGCTCTGCATAGGGTCTGGGTCGAGCGTTATCGGATCTTTGCGCCATAACACCGTACACATATCTGAGAGGAAGTAGCGAATATGGCCTATCAATATCAAATCCTCCACTTCCAGCTCTGCATAGGGTCTGGGTAGAGCGTAATCGGATGATGCACTGCGCAACGAAAAACAACTAGAGAGTAGGGCCTAGGGGGCTTGCTAGATCATTTAGTGAACGAAAAATAAGAACAAAAAGTCTGAGCTGATACCGACCGGCCAGTGGGAGTAAATGGTTGCGGATGTACCGTATATGATCGCAGCTGGGACTCAGCCAAAAAGCGTCCCGTTGGCTAGAGCCAGGCGTCGAATTCGTAACTCAAGTAAGTTGCGGGTGCGTTTGTGTGTGTTCGTGGCGGTTATCTGGGTGAGACGTGCATCCGCTGCAGGCCGAATATGGCACATTTATCGCGCACATTCTAGAGTGGGCGGCAAGTGGAGGATTTGATATTGATAGGCCATATTCGCTACTTCCTCTCAGATATGTGTACTGTATTATGGCGCAAAGATCCGATTACGCTCGGCCAAGACCCTATGCAGAGCTGGATCATGCGTTTCACCCTCTGGGGCCATGGGGGGATTATGTATGGGGTCATGTACTTGGTTAAAGTGATGTACCGTAGGGGATCGCAGCTGGGACTCAGCCAAAAGCGTCCCGTTGGCTAGAGGCAGGCGTCGAATTCGTAACTCAAGTAAGTTGCGGGTGCGTTTGTGTGTGTTCGTGGCGGTTATCTGGGTGAGACGTGCATACGTTGCAGGCCGAATATGACGCATTTATCGCGCACATTCTAGAGGGGGCGGCAAGAAGTAGCGAATATGGCCTGTGAGTAATTTCTTGCAGCGCCAGAGATGGCTTTCTGGGTCCCTACCAAATACGATATCGCCTTAAGTGTCCAACGCCTTCCACTCCCCCTATATTTCTTAGAAACTCCTTTTAGTCTACCTGTGATGAGGAGAGATTTGGCCCGAGGTTGTCACAATCGTTCTTTCTCGATAGCAGAAGACATTCATTCTGAAACCCTCTCCCCTTTCGTCGAACTTAGGAATCCATTGTTCTCTCCAGTAAGATAATATTCTGAAAGTGTGATCTTCCTTTTTGCTGGAAACATTGTTGCTCTGTCTTGGCGAGTCAGTGGATAAATCTCTCTTGAATAGGGGTGGGCTCCATTCCCTATTTCTCTTCCATATTGCTTCATATTCTGGCGTCAAGATCTCTCGCCCTTTTGGCAGAATAATTCTTATACCAATCGAATTGAATTTCAATGTTCTCTGAGTCATCAATTTGGGTTCATTTGGGTGATTTTAACTACGCTGTTCCTATAAATCCTCTCCTGTTTCCGTTCATATCAATACCATTATCTTTCCCTTTTTAGCAGTTTCCATTTTGCTCTTCGTTTACCTCTTCTTCTTTCACAATCGGTCGGCATTTGTGCACATGATTAGTTCATTGTACTGTTGGCGCATCTGACTTGAAGTAAACTACTACTGCTATGCTTTGATGTGCTCCTTTTATTTGTCTTGTTCCAGGCTACAATGATGCTGGTCCAATCGCCAATGGTACCCTGGCTGGTTCTGGTGTGTATAGCTGCTGTCTCTACATTACCGGAATCACATGCTGACCAAACCAGTAAGTACTTGGGAATGCTGCGGACACTGAGCTGGGACTGGCCACTGGCTCTGTTGAGTATTGGCCGGAATGGCTCGATTTCCTGGCTGGTGGGGCTCGTTGACTGAATGCCGATTGAACGGCCGGCGTTACCTTATCTCAATGTATCTTCCAGCAGACTGATTC